CCTTTTCATGTAATCTTCATCCTTAATCATGAACTCTTATCTGCAGTGCAAGGTGTATTACTTTTTACAGTTGGTAGGATCCAGACTTAGACCTGCTTAGTGTAGGATCTTGAAGTCAAAATCTAGAATGACTAATTCAAATTTTAATGGATCTCTTCTAAGCATTCAACTCAGTATTCGCTCTGTCTTTCTACCTTCTTTTCATTCTGGTCAGTGCAAACCTAACAATGGATGACTTCCTGTTATATGCAATTAGCAAATTAGAAACCAGCCTCAAGAATTCAGCCTCCCCCCTTAACTTGCTGTCAGAATACAAAAGCTGAAGGGAGGTACCCAGTAATTAAAGTGCCTCTTCCCTGGTGGGAACAGAAACTAATTAAGGGGATATTCATCACTTAGCACTGCACTAAACTGAAAAAAGTTTGATCTGTGAAATTTCTTACAGCCTTTCTTACTCACTTTGCCTTTATTTAAGTTGTCTTTAAGGGTGGAACATTACAACTATTCACAGGATATAAATAGTTTTGCAATCTTATTTGAATAAGGGATTCTGAAGTGGAGATTCAGAATGGAGATGGTGGATATATTGGAGATGAGGGTGACATGTTTGTCCTGTCACCATGTTCTTTCCTCTTACATGGAGCACAAGGCAGCTCACATAGTCCTCCTTTCCATTCTATTATCACAATAAGCCTGTGAGGTGGTTAGCTCTGGAGTCAGAGACTGGCCCAGAGTCACCTACTGAGGTTTGTGGCTGAGTAGGCACCAGAACTCAGGTTCCCTGAGTCCCACTCCACCCCATACTCCAGTTATGACATCACACTGGCTTTTTAGATCCTGCCTTTCCTCAACAAATGATCCATAGGATGGCTCTGACTTCATTTATGGGCTGAAGTGAGAATCACTTTCATTCTGCCTGTTCCTCCATTCCATTAAATTAATTTTCAGTCTAAAATACAACCAAAATAGCACTACATTTAAAATAAAAATGTATAAGATTAAACATACAATTAAAATAATTTTTATAATACAGTGCCCACCACCACCAGGACCAATGATACATGTTACAAATAAGAAAAATTCATTCGAACATTTCAGGATGTTCCCCCTTCCAAACTTGTAATGATTCTTTTGACAGCTTGAATCCTTTCCCTTTCCTGAAAGCATACTTGATTAGCATTTAACATTTTTTCTTTATATGCCCATTTCTCATTTTAATATCACAGATTAATTTGTCATTAATAGGTAGCCATATTCCATATTTCTTTTATAGCAATCACACAATTGATAATCATATTTTACATTTCAATTCATTGATCTTGCTGCAGTTACTAAATTTGTTCTTTATTCTTTATTATTCTAGCTCCATTGTTTCTTACCAAATACTGAAGTAGTGCAATCTCAGGGCATATATCTATATTGAGACAATATTTTACTGCATTGTTCAAAACATCTTTCCAAAATTTTATGATATATTTGCAGTCCCATTACATGTGAAAATATATCCCCAGTTCCTGACCACATCTCCAATATAAATTGGAATATTCATTATCTATACAGTTCAGCTTCAGAGTTAGGTACCTCTTCCATATAATTTTATTTTAAAAATTCCTTTATTCTTACTGACATACATTTTAATATCCTCTTTGTCCAGATATTTTTCCAATCTTCTTCCTCAATTCCAGTGCCATCATTGCTTCTCAGTTTTTAGACTTGAGAAATGTAAGTATTTGTAAAGTTGAATTGGAATTGAAAGTTGAAAAAAGGATTATTGATTCAGAATTGATAGTACAAAGTAACTTTGGTCTCTAGATCGTCGGTATAGATTCTGAATCCTTTGCTAATGTGGGCATGCATAGGTCATGCTCCTTCAACAGTAATTTAAAATATCAACTTCTGCTTATAGAAAAGACCTTTAGTTCTGCAAGTGTGCACATGTGTGCGTGCCCACGCATGCGCATGTAGAGAATCTAAGCCTTTAAGAAATGCAGTGCTCCGTTGTGTCATTGATAGAAACCATGTTTTGGTGGACTGGAATATCTGTCTTTCCCTTCAAAGCCCGATGCATAGAAGTTCAGAAATACTGCAAAAACCGTTGCCCTAATTTCATAGACCTTCATGATAAAGAGTAAAATATTGCCTTTGGTCCAGCTTTTTCATATCTCCCCCTGCCCCAATAAATGATGCAGTATTATCATTTCCTGGAACATAGATGATCAGCTGAGCTTTACATATTTTTACACTAGGGTGTATTCTGAGTGGGAGCTGTTAGGATAATTTTTCTCTGGTGAAATTAGCACTGAAATGAACAGAAGTATTTGTAAAGTTCAGTTGACCAGTTGCTTCTTCATTCAAGTCCTCAGTGAAGCCAAACTGTTGATTGCAGGTTCCATTTCCAGCATTTCGGCAAAAGGGAGGAGGGGCATTTTCATGACACATTAACCCCACTGGACATTGTAAGCATGCACTGCCTTTAAAATGTGCCTCAATTCCTCCCTCCTCTGTGTCTATATCATATAAATTTGCATGCCAGATTCAACATTGCAGGCCTCTGCTAAGGTAGAAAGCACCCTTTGCAGCAGAATCCCTGGGATTTAAGAGGGGTGTTCATGTGCCCCTGGGGTGCCCTCAATTGCCCTGGTGTGGATAACACAAACACTTCTTTAAAAAGTCCAGGTGTGGCAGCACTAAATGGCTTGGTCCAGATCAGGTGGCATCTTGGTGCTCCTGTAGCGTCCCTGAGATTGAATTGAGCAAGAAGTGGAGTTGGGAGAGGCACACAATCCCACTGTGCCAGATTGCCGCACACAAAAGAATGTTAACCACACTGCATAGTTAAAATTCTCAAGGGAGTTAAGCTGGTTGTGTGTACCCATACACAGACTGACTTTCTGCTTTTAGACATAGCACACTATTCTCCATTTGTAAACGAAACAAAAGCCTTTCCTTAACACATCTTCACCCTTCTGGATCAGCATGTAATGCAAGTTTCTCCTGTAATGATTATTCCCAATTACAATATTTTCTTTAGATTGGATTTTGATAGGATATTGGTAGATAAAACTGTTGCCTCAATGTAGCTAATGGGATTTTTGTACATTTACAAACTATCAATAGGAGGTACTTCAGCAGTTGTTTAGCTTGTGCATTAAAATTTTGTGCTTTCAAATGTTCAATTTGGCTGAATCCCACCTCCCTACTTGCTCATTTAAAATGTAATTTCCAGTTTTTAAAAATTACAATAAAATATAGATGTGGTCAAACCTATTTGTGTGCCAGAATATTATGTAAAAGTTATAGTAATAGTAATTTTCTGCTTTTCTTCATCCAGAAAGAATTGACTAGTGTAGAATACACACAGTTACTTATTCATCCCAATAAACTAGTCTTCAAAACTGTTATTAATTAACTTAAAGATCACAAGTGTCAAAATAAAAGATACAATTCAGATTTGATATGAAACCTGTTTTTAAGGTATTGGGTAGTATTTTGACTTGGTTGGATCTTAACACCCAGAATAAATAAAGGAATGGAGTCATCAAATTCATTGCATGTTTTTGTGGACATTCTGTGGTGCTGGTGCTGCTGCTGCTGCTGCTGCTGCATAAAAGTCACATATGCACAAAAGTAATGGATGAAGCGAGGCTTCAGTATTAAAATACTGCACTGGATAAACTGTTTACAGCTGTAGCCCCAGTAGCATGCTTTGATCCTTGGAAATCATTTGGACAAGTTACTCACACTTCAGCTTCTTTCTTTTATTTAAAATATTTCTTGGCCACTTTTTGAACAGAACCTCTCAGAAATCAAGTGTACCACAATACAATGCATCTAATAAAAATTGTTACAGTAATAGAAACAGTGATACAGAAACATCAGCAGGCATTCTAAAACATGTAATGCCAGCCTAAAACCTACCAAATGCAACTAAGGCTACAGTCAGTCTGATAAAACATAATTAGGAGAAAGTCAGAGTAAATAATGCAGTAGTTTTTCAGAGCAGTGCTGAAATCTTTCAGTGGTTGAGCTTGGCAGACACTGCTGCCCCCGGTAACTGATTCAAGAGGTGTGGGGCTGCACTAACTCTAGGTATAGGCTGTCATATTCGCCCAGCTGTAACTAAATTGTCTCCGTTAAACTTAATATTTTGCTCTTACGGATGGCTTTGTTTGATCTGTAGAATTTTGTCGTGATTTTAATTGATTGTGAAAATTTAAAAAATGATATGCGGGCAGTGTTCTGATCCTGTGTGCACAGTATGCTCCCATCCTACAAACCATAACTTTGAAAACCCACCAAACATCTCCTTTGCTCTTGCAGCTTCACCAATGAAGCCAGGATAAACCAATTCATTTTCGAATTACTGTTGACTGATGCCTCAAAATCTGCCTATTCATTTATTTGATTTATACCCCAACCTTTTTTCCACTGTGGAATTAAAGATAGCTACTCGCAGTTTCTAGGTTGTCACTCATCCTGGTGCTGACCAGACCCATACCTGTTTAGTTTCATCCTGTCCCTTCAGACCATGCCCTGTGGGACCTAGTTGGGTTAGAAAACCTACTGTTTCTTTTTAAGCCGATAGCCTAAGCACTACTGTTGGTTGTTCTTGCAACTGTCAATAAAGTAAATAGAAGTTGCATCAAGTGATACAGCTTGGTAAATGAGCCCAATTGCCATTATTTAATTAGAACCTCACTTTTGAACATCTGGCTGTTAAATATTAAATTTAATAGAAAGGAAAGTTTTTCTGATATAGCATTTTACAAAATGCTTTCATACAAATAAATTGTCTTGGTATTGGTAGTTCACCAGAAAATTTTTTATCAAAATTCCTAAAGGGTTAGATTCAGGCTTAGTTACCTTGGAGTAGGCCTACTGAAATTGTTGGTCTTGAGTTAGTAATGCCTGATTCTAGATCCAACCCATATATTGCTAATATAATGTTGATTAATGTTGCCTTCACTAAATAAACTTTGAAAATATATTTTCTCTTGCAGCTCTATTCAGGAGCCATACTTGAAGTGTGTGGATGAAAATTAGGGAGGTTCCCTCAGGTCCAGGGTAAGTGCAGTTGTAATGGATGGATTTGTGTTTTTAAGTGAAAAAAGAATTATTGATTCAGAATTGATTGCACAAAGTAACTTTGGTCTCTAGATCGTTTGTATAGATTCTGAAACCAAATCCTATGCTAATATGGGCATGCATAGGTCATGCTCCTTTACAGTAATTTAAAATATGAACTTCTGCTTATACAAAAGATTGTTAGGTGTGCACATGTGCATGCGCGCGCACACACACACGTAGAGAATATAAGTCTTTAAGAAATTCAGTACTCTATTGGGTCATTGATAAAAACCATGTTTTGGAGGACTGGAATATCTGTCTTTCCCTTCAAAGCCCAATGCACAGAAGTTTGGAAATACTGCAAAACCAGTTGCCCTAATTCCATAGTCCTTCATGAAAAAGAGTACAGTATTCTCTTTGGTCCAGCCTTTTCAGATCTCACCCCCCACCACCACCACCTCTGCAAACCATGCAGTATTATCATCTCCTGGAATATAGATGATCCGCTGAGCTATACATATTTTTAAACTAGGGGTTTTTTTGAGGGGGAGATCTTAGAGAGATTTTTCCCCTCTGGTGAAATGAGCACTGATCTGTTTATTCACAGCACTGAAGATTCTGAGCTGGCTTTTCCATTCCAAATTCTGAGCTTGCTATAACGTTATAATGTTATAATAGACATAACGTCCAACTCCAAAATGTCAGTTTCACCATTCTTCAAAGAATGCTTCCTGTCTCATCTATGTCTGGATCCTCTTCTTGGAGATCTTTGCTTCCTAGACATGAGAACTTTAACGACTTTTTTAATTGAATAGTGCTGGTTTTTGCACAACTTTTGTTATTGGCTGACTTCTTTTTTCCCAGCAGGATGGGAGAAGAGCAGGCTCTTGCTCATCAGTTTGTGAATAGAAACAGAACAGATGATGGCTTGTGCAGAAAATTCCGAGGTCACTGGAATTTCCTTGGGTTATCATGTGTGCATGATGCATATGCTTTACAATAGTCACATGTTTATAGTTCTGCTTTGAAAACAATCTTACTTTGTATTTGGGGTGGGGTGGACTGTAAACTCTGTGGTACCTGTTGGCCTGTTGACCGTTTGTAGTCTGCAGTGGCCTTTCATTTTGCCTGTTTTAAGAGATGGTGCTGCATATGCTTTAATGGTTTTCCAGCCTGCAACATCTACTGTTCCCATACTTAAATCCCTTTCCTTGCCATTGTTGCCAAGAGTTCCCACGCAATTTTAAAAGAGTCCCTCATACTGAACCATCCTGGCAATAATACTGAGTGTTGGCTGCCTTAGCAACCATATGATGAGAGCAGGAAAGCCAGCTTAATTGGGAGGCAGAAAGGGAGTTGGGGAGAAAATGGTGGAGAGAAGGTGCTTGTGTCTAAGGGAGCAGGAAAGGGGAGGAGTGAGGAAAGGATGCATATATTATAAGCATAGCTAAGCTACATTCTAAGAGATATTTCTTGCTAAACATACAGATTTTGTTCTACGTGTGTTGTTCAGCATTTCCTAGGTCCAAATTAGCCTCCAGCAGTTTCCTTATGGAAACTATTGCTTGGGCTCTACGGGCTTTGTTTCCTGTGAGCCACATCCCGGCTGGTACAGAACGTGAGGCTAAATGATAGTTACACTGTCGCTTTAGAAGATAAAGCATTTTTGGGTTATATTTTACCATGTAACTTGTTATCTGTCAAAGCTCTCGGCATCAGCGTTCACTTTTCAGTTGATTTTTGTCTGATAGGACAGTATACATTTCTTTTCCATGTATCACAGAACAGCAACATTTGTTGCTGGGGTGTGTGTGCATTACAGGTAATGCGTGTGGCCGATCATGAGTGTACTTTATATAACAAAGTACTGAAATATTCAGCAGAATAGCATTCTACATCGGTGTTGGGGAAAGTGGGACGGGGGTAAAACTTGAACCAAATTAGAGATGCTGATTTATAAGAACTAAATGAAAGACACCTAGACTGAGGTCTTCTAGCCAGTTAATCTGAATTGCTATAGAAACAAATAGGTGTTTAAGCACTTAATAAAGCTTCATCCAGATAAGTAGCATTAAAGTCCCACCTTTAGCAGAGTGTCTTCTCATTTGCCTTTTGGGCATTTCCTTTTTATCTGTAATAAACAGATCTGAGATCCAACCTACAAATCAAAGAGATGCTATTTTAATTGCTTTATAGGTTTTTTCCCTTAATTTTGGTTCATACTGACTTTAATTTTAAAATGATTTGTTTCTTCCCTACACAAAATTGAGTTCCTGAGAAGTAAATGATATTAGCTCTTCTAACAATCTAGGAATAAACTTAATTATTTGATTTCATCATAATGTAATCAAGTAAGCCCTTGTGGGAATTTTGAGGCAGTTCTAAATTAAATCCTTGGAACTAATCAAGGATGTGATACCTTTGGAAATGTATTAGTTTTCCTCCTTCCATACTGGACATCAAATGTACCATTTTGTAAGATCTTGTAATGCAAGAGCTATAATATCATTTTTTAACTGATCTTTCAGGTCTGTTTCCACCAAAATATTTAAAAGAAAACTTGCCTTCTGTGTTCAAGAATATTTTTATAAAATGTCTCTTGCCATAACAATGTCTGCATTTTGCCAAATTATAAGCAAGTTGTCACTTCTATTGGACAGCAAAGTCTACTAAGCAAATTTTCTCACATCTTTTTTCTGTTTCATTGGTAGAAAGGTGAAATGTGAAGCTGTAGCTCTTCTGCAGAAAGGTGCAGTTAGTTTTAAAGCTTTTGTTTCCACACAGAAACATTCATTATTCTTGTTTAGTATTTGAAAAGAACTTGATAATAAAAGCTGTAGGGCAAAATGGAGGGATGCAGACGTCAGGGTAAAACATTTATTCTTTTATATTTCTATATTCACTTGTACCCACCAATACTGGGGGTTCCCCACATTCCGGCTTTATAGGTCAAAACTTGAACCTTGAATTTATTTTATTTATATCCTTCAAGGGCCCAAAGGGGCTTAGATACTAGGAATCTGCCTCTCTTTATTTTATTCTCAACAATCCTGTGGGGAAGGTTAACCTGAGAGTCTGCGACTGGCTCAAAGTAATCCAGTGAGCTAAATAGCCAAGTAGGATCTAGGAACCCAGATCTACCAAGTCCCAGTCCAGCCACTACACCAGATTAACCCTCAAAATGTCCTCAGAAACATGCAGACAGCCAGTGAAAATGGACCAGAATCAGTGTTATATGCTCAGTTGTGCCCTCTATCAATTTGGTTGTCATATTTTGCGGTTTCCAAACAGTCTTCAAAAGCAGCCGCAAAGGCAGAGTGTATTGCAGTAATCTGAAGCCACCTCTCCCTGTTTAGGTAGGGACATAGCTGACTCTCTAGGTGAAGCTGGTAGAAAACCACTGAGACCGCTTAAGCCTCAAGTGACAGTGGTGACTCCATAAGAACCTACTCCAGGAATTTATACTGATAGATGAACTCAAAGAACACTAAATCTTCCTAACAAACATGTAAGATTTCATAAATTGTTCAGTAAGTGTTTCTTCTGAGGTTTCTTTTCTGTTGCTCTTGTGCTGGCACTTTTCTTTTCTTCATTCTGCAGTTTTGTGTGATTTATGCCCAAAGAATTGGTCTACGGTTAAACAGATGCGGCAACTTTCTTTGCTGAGCATGAATCACTGATTCTGGACCACTTGCATTAGCTGCCTCTGCATTTCTTAGCATAATTTAACTCATTTTACATTTCAATTCATCTTCCTGAGCCCTGCATGAGTATGGAGACTATATCTACACCTTTGTACACTTTTGGACATGAAACCTGGTTTGCACAGGAACAGCAATTTTCCCCAACCTCCCTTAAGAATCTATAGACAAGTTGCCTGGAATGTTAACTTCTACAGTAGTTAAGAAATACTACTTGGTTGTTTATTTTAAATGAACGCTCTTATGCTGTAGGCTCCTTGCTCATTTTTAGCATGCCCACACTTTTTTATTTTCACAAGAACTGACAAATAATGCTTTACTTCAAAATGGTGTATAAACTGTTTTCATCTCTATCATTTAAGTTAAAATCTTTTGGCGCTCGCTCATCCTCCAATAATTTAACATAGTGAGTGTCTTGACAGAAAATGAAATTGTAGCAGGTTGGTGGTGTGAGGAGTGGTTAATCCAAAAGACATTCCAATTCATTTCCACTAGATTTAGAAAGCTGCTAGTGGTACAATATGTCTTACAGTTTAAGTTGACATCAAACATAGGAGAACTGGTGTAAGGCAGCTTTCTACCCTCTTGCTTTATTTTAGCATGGCTCTGCCATGGCAGCTGCAAGACAGAAATATGCCTACAAAGGGTAGGCTTCCTACAGTTGAACAAATGCTTAGCACAACTCATATAAGCTGTACAAGCTCTTCTGCCATCAGTCACCCAAACCGTGTGTTACTCACCTGCTCAGCACAACAGTGGTTCCCCAGGAAGCGGCTAGGTGATACATGCAATCTGCCAGCTCAGCTTTCCTCATGTTGCCTGTCTGATTTTACCACTCCTTTTCCAACATGAAGAGACGCTTTTAGTATAGACAAGGGCAGAAAAATTGAACAAGCGATAGGCAGCCTCCCATTTAACACCTACTGGGTAATGCAGAAACCATTTTTATGGTCTCTTTACCCACTGATTTTTCATATAGAGCTTTAAGGCTTCCACTCCCATAATCCCATGATCTCCAGTTTTCTTGAGGTATGAACCTAATCGGATACTGCAACCATCACCTGAGGCCTTCCTCCAGGTGAGGTTCAGAGGATGGAAACAAGTGATAGGGCCTTCTTACTGGTATTCCCAATTTTGCAAGGCACTTCCTGGAAAGTCCACTTGGAGGTGACATTTTTATCTTTTCAGTGCCAGGTTAAGATTTTGCTTCCTGGAATATGATAAGACTTGATAATGGATCTTACTATTTTCACTTGAGTTTTAAAATTGGTTTAGAAATAGTGATTTTATATGAAATTCTTAGATAGTATTTTTTGAGTTTTATCTTTATAAATCTGTCAGAAAGCTTTGGCTCTCGGGTGATATAAACATGCAGTGAAAGAATTGTGTAGTGGTTGTTGCTTTTTAGTTGCATTTAATATGAGGGTCCCTCATCCTCATGTCACTTCTTTGAAAAAGCAGGCTGTGGGGGAGTAAAATGTTGGCATGACGTCTGACATTTGCTGCTTGATAAAACATGTATTCCCATAGACCTAGGCTACTTGCAAGAGATGACCTGAGCAAGAATAGGGGCATCACTCCAGAAGCTGGTCTAGGCCTGCCGCAAAATTAACCCAGTGTGAGAGAGATTCAGCAGGTAAACTGGCTCAGAGTGATTGCAGTCTAACACATCTGGAGGGCACTGTGTTGAAGAAGCGCGTGCTAGAAAATGCCTCTGCTCTTTCTGTAAGAACTCCTGTGCAGCAGTCTTCCTCTCCCCAAGTGTGTATTGCCATGTCGGCTTGTCAGAGGTCATAAAGCACTCACCCTGGCATTCCACTATTCCAAACTATCCCAGTTTTGCCTCCTAGCTTGATTTTTAAGTCTGTGTGTACACACTGTATTCATTCTAGGATGCTTATGTACATTTGCAATAACTTTCTTTTCTCTTTACACTCTAGCTTTTGTCAGGAGTGACAAGCCTAAACTGTTTAGGGGACTGCAGATTAAGGTGTGTGCTTTTTTTTGTTGGTTATCTTTTTTATGGGATAAACATGTAAATGTTGTGTCTCAGATTTTGTGGGTGGGGATTAGGAGAAGGTAGTCTGGTTCATCCGCAATTGGTTTGGTTTATTATGGGGGTAGCAATCTTGAATTTACACATGGGTTTTGAATGCATTTTGTCTATTGAAATAACTCGTTCGTTTGGTGGTGATTCAAAGTGTATCTTGAATTAACTGTTAGAACTGTAGTGCAATATTGCAGAGTATAGCATTGTAACTCAAGTACTGAAAACAAAAAGTATATGGAAGGAAGTGGAATATTCACTGTCCTGTGCTGTGGCACAGTTCCTTTAGCTTTAACAAGTTTTCATTAATTATTGGTCTTTTCTACTCATGGTGCAACCCTGATTTTATTTAATGGCAACCATGCAAATAACTGAATTTTTATACTTGGTTGTCATGTTTCCAGCAGGCAAACATAGATTCAGTTTTATAGAGTTGTTAATCTAACTTTGGTCACAGGTGAAAGCAGTATTCTGCATTGGATTGAATTATGAAAGTGTATAGGTATATGTTCATTTCAGACTCTGATAATTTGAACTATTGTGGTATGCTAACCTATCTTTGGAGGAGGCTAGGGATGTCAGACATATTTGGCTGTTTTGAATTCAGGCGAACAGTAACCTTAAATTTTTTTGTCTATGCAGTATGTACGTGGATCTGACCCTATACTGAAGCTCTTGGATGACAGTGGGAACATTGCTGAAGAACTGAGCATCCTCAAATGGAATACCGACAGTGTAGAAGAATTCCTAAGTGAAAAACTAGAGCGCCTCTAAAAAGAGAGAGAAATCTTGCTTTAAAAAAAAATCATTATTTCTTGCATCATTTTTCATCATGGTAATCGTCTCAGACAAAGTGTGATAAATCCCGGAAATCATTCCAGCTTCTGCATTAATTTTAAAACTATCTGGTTTTGTCTAGTACTTCAACATCTTTTAATTAGGAGCAGAAGCTTCAAGCACAGCACATTTGACAAATTGGCAGCTGAACAAATGTCCTGTCCTGCCACATTTCAGCTCATCTTAGCGGATGGAAAGCATTAATGAAATGCTTTGAGACAAATGCAATGCAAATATTAGAATTTGTTATAATTTGGCCATTTTTTGCATGCAAGCCTATTTGTCAACCCACAATAATTGAGATAATTGCTGTGCTTTTTTAGTATACTGCCACTCTTTTTACAGTGATGAGAAGTTGGAATGAAATGAGATAAACTCTGCCTCCCAAAGAGATCTTTGCTAATATCCTGCGTATTGTATTTTCCAGCTGACCTTTTTATAAAACTGTTATTTACACTATTCATAATTAATGCCTGCTCTCAAAGAAGCAAACGTTTGTAATCTTGTTCTGATGGAAGAGCTCATGATCTGGAATGGCTAGAGAACTCTTAAGAAAATACACTTTAATGATGATTACATAGAAAGCCTTTAACTGAAGGCATGTGTAGGTCTGATGTCTAGTGTACTTTTGTTAAATGTGTTTACCTTCATGCCACCAACATGAGTTCTGTGAAGGGAAAAAATATGGAGAGAGCAATAAACTGCTTTAGAAAATGTGTATCAGATGCCTTGTTTGTTCAATTCATTGCAGCAAAGTGTATTGCCAAATTAGCTTTGGACAAAACTTGCTGAGAAGGCATATAGCGGCTAATCTATCCAGTTATCCTAGCAGAGGGGAGGGAAACCCATATTTAGAGGGATGGATGACCCCATCCTTCTCTTTCAGTGGCAGAATAACACTGGGGACAGGGCCATTCCCTTTGTCCTTCTTTGGTTCCTGGCAGGTGCCTCAGCAGGATGACCCTTCCTATCTAGCTGCTGAGAAGTAGCTGCACTGTGCCAGGCCTTCTCCAAGCTGCTGTGCAAGCAAGTTCCCCACCCACATCCCCCGCTGTTATTTCCATTCTGTGGCAGGGATTCTTCTGTGCAAGCACAGCGCATTGGCAGGCTGGAGATAACAGTAAGGAGTCCTCCAGTGGTGGGGCTTCTGTGGGAACTAATAAACTGCCAGACTCCATGGTAGTCAAAATAGATTCTACAACTACTTAAACATCAGTTTTAGGTGTTTTCACCCAAATGGTATGCTGCTTTACACATGATTCTTTAAAAGTGCTAAGGTGGCTCTGTTTCTTTATGTAATGCCTGAAAGTGTGAATGCCAAGAACAAATACAAATGTACATCCTATGTCAAGATATTTCTGTGCTGTGCCAACAAGCAGTAACAAATCTGGACTTGTCGCTAAGGAAAAGTGTAAAACAATCCTAATTCTGTGCTAGGTTGTTGGGAATATGGATAAGAGGGAGATAGATATGGAGGAATTTGTTTTATTCTGTCCGGCTGCTAGAGAACCAGGGGTGAGTGTTGGGGTCTTCCAAATTTGAGTCTTCCAAATTCGAGGGTAGAAATAATTAAGTGCCTGGATATTTTTCCACTTTCCTTACTAGCTGAGTGAGTATCCTATGTGCCAAAATGAGAGTAGTGGGGTCAAGTGAATCCCTACTGCAAGTGGCAATCCTAAAGTCGTTCAGTAAAAATGCAGGGAGGGCATCCTTTGTCCGGGTTTAAAGCCCAGCCTAGTTCACCTGTTGTCCATAAGTGCAAAGAGGAGAAGTAAGGCTGTCGGGGGCAAGTTATGCTTGCACTTTACGCAGCTGCAGTGTACATGACCAGGGAGAACCCAGTGCAAGTGAAATGAACAGAAAAGTAATAAAACCAAAGAAAAGGGATGCAGTTGTTTCTTAAGCACAAGGAGTAGCCCAGTCCGGACATGGGTAGTACTTTGAAGTCCTGTTGACTACAATAGGAAGTATTTGAACATTTTTTTAAACTCTGCTATTGAAGTCCATGAAATTCAAACGTTTTTATATAGTAAGTTTTTTAAATGATAGATTTTTGCCAAATGTAAGCAATGCAGAGGTTGAAAATCAACCTTTAAAAGTGAAAATGTGATTATATTTTAAAAGGGGGCTGGATATGACATTAAAGAAGCAACATATATAAGTGTTGTGTGTGTTTTGTTTGTTTCTACCTGTGCATTTTCCTTGGGAAATAATGTGATAGCTATAAGAGGCAAATAGTAAGCATGATAAGAGATCCTATCCTTACTGCCTCCCATAAGAAAGCTCACTGTTTTCTAAGTGTACATGCAAGGGTACATGGAATTTCTAGAGAATAAAGAGGGCAGTAGGGAAAGACGGGAAGCTTTGGAATGTTACTGATAAAATACAAGGTTTTGAGCTTATGGCCCTCCAAATTTTTCAGCCTAGAAATCTCATGGCCCCTCACCATTAGCTATAGTGTCTAGGGCAAATAGGAGTTTTAGGTCAAAGCAATTTAGTTGTTTGTTTGTTTGTTTGTTGCATTTATATACCACCCTAGTAGCCCAGCAGAGAAGTTATCCTTCTCTGCTGTCTAACAAGCTGGTTAACCTGATCACACTTTATTGATCTTAGAACATTTTCCTGGTAAAAGGAAAATATGCACATATCTAAAGAATAGCCTGCTTTCAGTAGTGAATAAGATGATTCTGTTATTGAAGCAATACAAGGGCCAAACAGATGAAATTAATTAAGCTTGCTGCTGGTCTTTATATTATTGATATGGCCCAGACAACTTGCATACCCCAATTAATATACAATGTTTATTGGAAGTTTAGCAGTCTTCACTTATATTATAGGAGCATTAGAAATGTTAAGATGCTATTTGGGCCACTGCTGTGCCTCACAGTGAGAAATGCGAAGTATGCGCAAAATTAAGTCATACCATCCCAGAAATGCTCAACACCTGGCTGCTTTTCACAACTCATTCACATCTGTGCTATATAATCAGTCTATATCATCACTGCAACTTGGTGTTGCATTTTGCAGACACATGAAAACATGGCCAGTCTTTCTGGTTTCTCCATGAACCCTTCTTGGTTTTTTTCAGTCAATACTAAAAAACTTCCATTTAAAAAAACAAACAGTTGAAATACAGGTTTCATTTCTGATGATGAAAAAGGATTTAAAAATCCTTTATTTTTTGTATTCCTTTTCTAGTGTTCATGCATATTTTCAGTTGTGAGGTATGCCAGGCATAATACAAATACTGCAGGAAGCCAGCTTCTAATGAAATACCTAAATGTTAAGAGAAGTACCTGATACTCGTGCAAAGAGATGCCCTTCCTCAGAATACTCAGTGAAGAACTGTCTGGTAATTTGTGTAAGCTATGCACATTTTACTTTCCCATAGTCTAAAATGTATGAACATCATTGTGATAAGCAATTTATACCTCACCAGCCACATTATTTTGCTCTAACAACATGTGTTCCATGCTGAATGTTAGTACTTATATCCTGAATATCAGAGTTATCATTCCAAAATAAACCAAAATCTAGGTTTATGGTTGTGACAGTAATCAAGTTTCTGTGCAGTGAGTACTGTAATATGAAAGTTCTGTGCAACCAGAAGGCACACAAAAGGGCTGCTTAAGTATCAAATCTGTGTTTCTAACATGAATTTTAGGCACAAATGCTGCAGAAGAACAAAAATATAACTTTGTGTGCCACGCACAACTAAATCAGAAGATGAGAATGTTTCAAGCAGACTTAATTCCTATGCAGTGTCTGCATTCTAGTCAAAATACATCTAGAATCCTATTAGAGTCATTCCTCACCCAGCTTTGCTATTACATTTATAATTTGCTCCCTTTATGCAGGTGGTGGAGATTCTTTGTTCTCCACAAATAAACAGCAACAACGGACATTAACTCAATTTTTTTGGTTAAAAACCTAGTAAGTTTTCCCATCAAAATTATTGTGGCAGCAGCTAACATAGCAATGGGCTGGATCCAGATGCCACTGGAAGATACCAATTGAATGTATTTCAATTAATCATGACTCACTGAAAGGAATCAATCTCATCCCAAGGCAGGAGTCCTCAGTTTCCCTCTAAGGTGTTCTCAAACAATAAAGGAATGACAGACAGGCCTTTGGATACTCTACCTGGTCATCTCTTGAGGCATCCAAGGTTAGGATGCTGGGCACATTTGGCATTTTTAGAATTTGCTTCAGGCTGCCTTAGCTAATTGGTTTACTTGAGCGTGTGTTGGGGGCAGGTGTCCCTCATCCTGTGTGTTGTAGACCCCCAAAATGAACTGGAGGGAAGGCAGCAGCAGAAGATGCATTTCTTTCTCTGGGTTGAAAGGATTTCTTTGCGGGATTGTGCAAGTATGGAAAAAGGCAGATGGGGAAAGGTAGAGGGAAGAAGCGGTGGAGAGGAAGAGAAAGGAAAAGGTGAGAGAATGGAAGGAAGGCTGAGCTGAGGAAAATGGACATAGGAAGGAGAGGAAGGGAGGGGGTGAGAGAAGAAGGGGTGGCAAAGAGAAAGGAGAAAGGGCAGGAGGAGGGGAGAAAAGAGACACTCAGAAATGAACGATGGGAGAACAAGTTGGAAGAGGGGGTAGAGGGGAGACAGGTGGCAGAAGGAAGAGAGCAGAGGGAACAGGAATGGAGGTGACAGGAGGGGAGGCATGCAGGTCCTCCATAGTCATCCCTCATAGGCTATCTTGAGCCAAGTTAGAGTGGATGATGGCAGACCAACATGCCAGCGTAAGAGTAGCAGCTATTCAGATTCAGTCTCATCCCAGGTTCCTTGAGCACTTCCTTCACTCTACACAAATTGAAGTATCCTCATAATTAAACAAAACAAAAATTGGTTTTTCTCCTTTTGTTCACCAGGCTCAGCCTTCCAGCCTGAAGAAGCTGGTAAAAAAAAATAATTGTAAATTTGGCCACCCCATATCTGTCCATAGAAATTGACGTGGTTGTTGGGCGTGGCATAGGGAAGGGTAAGCAGGAGTGTGTAAAAACACAACTCGCTAAAAAGAGTCTGGAAAGGGTTCTATGCTGGAAAGAGGAATGGGCAGCAAGTATGGCTGTGGAGGTGGTGCGCTGCTTTTTATGCCATCCCTGCCTCTCACTTTTGGTCCCCTTAGAACCGAGCTCTGGATGCAGCATTCCCTTTGCTCACCCATCCCCCTTGGATTGCTCTGCCTGTGGTGCATATCACAACTGTTGCTGCTAATTTTGTTGAACATCAGTGAGATCTAGGCCTTCTACAATTATACGACAAATGGAAAGCCCAGTTCACAGAATTACATTACGTTAAAGCACACTTTTTGTGCTGTCTCTGTGTCAAAGAGTGAAAGATTCCATTGATCCTGTTTTGTCCAAGGGCCCTCTAACAGCTGGGGAACTTCCAGGACTGTAGCAGTGGTGGAAGCAGCCTGAGGGAGAGAGGAAGCCCATGAAGATCCTCCAGCAGAAGGGCTGCACTCCGGAGCCCCTCCGTACAATGAATGGCAAATCTGGGTCTAACTCATAGCACATAAATGTTGGGAGGGAAGGCACCAGTCTATATTGGTAATAGCCCCACACACACACGAAAGAGAGAGAGAGAGAGAGAGAGAGAGAGGGAGGGAGGGAGGGAGGGAGGGAGAGGTCGGCCTTGTTTAATCCAGTAAAATAGTGGCTTGCTTGTGGGGGAACAATCTTGTGGAAGAGGAGAATAACTGCTGA